AGAAATCGTTTTAAAAAAGAAAATTACCTTTCCCATCATCCCTGGGCTATAACTAACTGATGAACCTGGGAGCTTATTTCAAATGAAAAATGAAATTATCTATGCTCTCTAATCCAGTTCCAGGAAGGATAAGTCATGATTGTGGCTGGCATTATTAGTGCTACAATCGTGTGTATTGACAGAGCGGTTTAAACACAGCAGCAGCAGTTTGCTGAAGCACACTCGGAGGCCTGCTGGTGCAAAGGGGCAGCACTGCCCATCTCCCAGCTTCCAGGCAGGGTGTTGTCTATCACCTCTTTCACTCATAAGCCAGGCACTCAAGAACCTCATCCCTCCCCCTCCTTGCAGCTTTATGAAGGTCTCAGCCTTGGCACTGGATTTCTGTCTCCGTTTCTCCAGATTTCTCCAGTTCCAAGCCCAGCAAGCCTTCTCTTCTCCAGGCTGCACTCCCTCAGCCTGCCCTCATGGGACAGGTTCTCCAGCCCTCAGAGCATCTTTGCGGCCCTCCTCTCCTATTCCTTGCATGAGGATTGCCAGGAGAAGCTGGGATGCACACAGCTCAGGGATGCCGTGGGTCACACAGCGGGCAGGGAGCCGTCCTTGTTCCTATCGCCCTACGGGCACAGCGCAGGGCGGTCAGTGGGGGCGTGCAGGGGCACCGCCTCGGGAGCACAGACCAGTGCCCAGCTGATGAAGGCCTCAGCAGCAGCGCAGTCCCATCTCTGAGCCTCAGGCCCGAAGCGTGACCCCGAGCTCAGCCCCCACAGCTGCCCTCAGGGCTCAGGCGCAGCTCAGGCCCCGGGCAGGCCTCCAAGCCCTGCTTTGGCCCAGGCCTGATGCTTCAGCCCCAGCCCCAGCCCCAGCCCCAGGCCACGTCCTGGAGCAGCCCCACAACCCAGGCCCTGGACCAGGACCGGCCCAAGCTGGGGCCTAGGCTCAGGCTCAGGCTCAGGCTCAGGCTCAGGCTCAGGCTCAGGCTCAGGCCCAGGCCCAGTCCCGGGCCCAGGCGCAGACCGCAGCGGAGGCCCAGCCCAGGCCGCTGCCGAGGCGGTGCAGAGCGGCGGAGCTCCGCCCCGCTCCGTCACTGCTCAGCGCCGCGGTCCGTGGGCCGCCATGGCCTCGGTGGTGCCCGCGGTCCGTGCCGCCGAGGAGCCGCCGCCGCCCGAGCCGCCCGCCGAGCAGAAGCCGCCGCCCGCACCGCCGGCGCCCGCGCAGGAGGAGTTCTCCTTCCTGCCGCTCGTCCACGACATCATCAAATGGTAACGGCGGCCGCGGGCTCTCCGCGCAGCGCCGGGCCGGCCTTCCCGCGATGCGGCCCTCTGGCCTTTTTTCTCCCCGCCGGGGTCTCTGGGAGGGGTGGCGGCTCTGCTCTGAGTCGTGCCGCCCCCGGGCAGAGCTGGGGTCACCGAGCTGGGGCGGAGCCCTGGCAGATCCGCTGCGCTGCGCGGAGTTATTGCCCCGTAGTGCTGCTCTGTTTGGCTGATAAGTAAAGGACGGGCAGTCCCAGGGCAGCGGTGCTGTCTGGCACTGGGAGGAACAGGAATTCTTCTGCAGGTTGAGTCAGTCTCTTTCCAGTTCAGAATCAATGCTGTAGGGTTAAAGGTGTTTGTGCTAGGGTCCTGACAACCAGAGTGTTTCTGGCCCAGGGTAACCCCGTTGGAAATGTTTGAGTTCCCGGTAGGGGCGCAGCCCTGCTGTGAGCAGCCCCGTGACCTGGGCACGCTGCACTGTGAGACAGGGGGCACAGGAAGCGCAAATTCCCATTCCTTGTTTTGGGCCTGACTGCCCTTTCCCTACACACTTCTATGGGAGCTGAGGCTGGTTTGTTTCCTGCTGGGGTTCTGCTTGTGCTGAGAGAGGTTCACCTTTAATAACCCTGCAGCTGAAGGGCCATCACAAGGAGAGAACAAATACCACACAGACACACCAGCCTAGATTCAGGAGAGCTGTGAGAACTCAAACTCACCCTCCATTTCCCCACTGCGCTGCCGCTGTCCGTGTGCTCAACCCTGCCTGATCCATCCAGGCCACTGAGGAGAGCCTGAGCCTGCTGCCATCTGCATAGGAGTACAGAGGCAAAGTGAGCCGGAGCCATGGAGTGAGACCTCCCAGACTCCTGTGTGTCACCAAGCAAGTCGTGACGACCCGCAGTGACAGTCCCCAGGATATCCTGTACCCTGTCCCACTGAGCCACCCACTCCCACTACCCCGCTCCCCCCCCATGCTGGCACACAGCATTTCCTGGACGGTGTGAGCAGACGTAGGTGCGCTGAGCAGTGCTGCAGAGGGGTCAGACGGAGCAGTGGGACGTGTTGCCTCACGTCCCTGACAGATGGCAAACGTATTATCCTTTAACGCCACCGCCAGGCTCAGAGCCCGGCCCTGCTGTTCTGACACTGACTCAGCCCTGAAGACACTTCACATCTCCAAGGTGATTGTGCTCAGGAGCAGTGATGTATCGCGTACGTTTGCTTACATTCAAGGACACGTGTTCTTTCCTGTTGTTTGAGTCCCGGGAAAGTTCTCCCAAGCAGGGCTTGCTGTTACTTTTCACTGTTGTATAATCAAATGGCATTACCTGTGAGGTGCGTGGTTCTTATGGTGGGCTGTGCTGCTGTAGCCAGGAGTTGCAGGTGAGACACGATGGAGGGACACCAGTGAAGGAGAGCTGGTGGGCAGCTCGGGAGGGGTCTGAAGAACTCAGTCCTTTAAGGGAGATCCCAAGCACTGTCCATCAACACAGGCTGTGGCTGGACATTGTGTTTAAACCTGTGTAATTGCAGGTGGCTGAACTCTTCCCACTCCTCCTCTCACCCCTGCCTGTCCGTGCCCTCAGACAGAAGGAGTTGCTTCAATTACTTGAAAACCTCCCATCAGAAAAACAAAAACAACAAACCTGAAAATAATTGTTCCTTCAAATCAACCAACCAAACAGGCAACCATCCATTCTCTGTGTGTGGAGAAGAGAACAAGCACTGGAGAGACCTGGTCGGCCCTTTGAAGCCAACATGCAGCTAGTGTGGATTAAAGGCAGTGCCAACCCATCCTTCCCAGATGTGCAACGTGTGTGTGCCTGTATTTTTCCACTGTCAACTTGACCGTAAATGCCTGCATAATGGGATACATTATAGTACCAGCTGCAGTTTTATTTAGAGAGGAGTAATGAATATTTTGTTCCAACAGGCTGTTGAAATGAACGGGACCATCTGGTTAAAAGTTTTGCTCTCAGTCGTGTCACGATTCCCCAAAGTTATAATCATGCACCTCTCTGCCCTGGTCATGCCAAGTAGTTTTATTTTTGGGTCTGGCTATTGAACAGGCTTCCAGCTTTCAGAGGCCGTCAGCATCCCACTCTTGTTATTAGTGCTGCCTTGGAAGCAGTCTCGCCTTTGCCTGGAATCGTAAAACTTCTCGCCGTTGCTAACAAAGCTGAAGCAGATACTAATGAGGGTTTGAGGGCAGACGCTGCCTCAGACAACACTGATCCTTGAGAAGCACAGAGCTGCAGAAGCAATTGTGCTGCTCTTAAAAAATAAGCTGTCGCTTCTCTTTATTAGGTAGACATCCCCAGGGAGTCGTTCCGAAGCTCTGAAATGCCGTTTTCTCTGCCATTGGACACCCTCTGATACTTTGGGGAACAATTTCTATTTTCTGCTGTCAAGCTGTTTGACTGCATTGATTTTTTGTATTGCTTTGGCAACAGGTCACAGGCGGGGCTGAGGCCTTTTTTCCCAGGTGCCTGCACACAACGTGTGTGTAATCTTACCTTCCCCGTACGGGAATTTAAACAGAGTGAGAGTTTGTGGTAGTGTTTTAAAGCTGCAGACCAGGTCTTAACCTGTAGGACTGCAATTAAGGTTACTGGATTGTGTGCTGAAAATGACCAGGAAACCAGTTTGTCCCAGTGGCTGCCCGCTCTGTGTATCTGTCTCTAGTTGTTTTGTTGTGATAGATGAATTAGGTGTGAATTAGATACCAGGAGCAAAAGTTTCCCAGTGAATTCCAGCATAAGCCCTGACTACGCAGTCCCCCAGCAGGCTGAAGGCCTGTCCAACAGGAGATGTGAATCATGTCTCTGTTTTCCTCCCTCTGCAGCATGGACAAGGATAGCCAGGATGTTCACCAGGTGCTGAACGAGCTCAAGAACAAGTTCCAGGAGATGAGGAAGCTGATCAGTGCCATGCCTGGCATCAGTGTGAGCCCAGAGCAGCAGCAGCAGCAGCTGCAGAACCTGCGGGAGCAGGTCAGGACCAAGAATGAACTGTTGCAGAAATACAAGAGCCTTTGCATGTTCGAAATCCCTAAGGAGTAGGAAGGGGAACAGCTCTGCAGTCTCAGTCTGGAATGCCTCTTCTCCTGGATGGAAAGGAGAGAAAAAGCTGGCAGAGGCTTACTTTGTTTTTTTTTTGTCACGTTACTGTGAAGTTGTGGCTGTGTGGGTCACAGGCATGTGACACTGAACCAGAACCCTTCGTGTGTCCTTCACATGCAATGGTTACAGCAGTGCCTTTGCTTTGATCTGCTGTAGGACTGCATGCATTTGTATGTGCAGCTCTTTTCCCTTGGGGCTGGTCATATTTTTTTTATTCAAGCAAGCAGAGCACATTATGTTTTCTCTAAAGAAAAGATCGAAGTACCTGCTGGTTAAGTTCAACAGAAAAAAAGGAGGTTTTTTCCGCATTTTTTCTTTTTCACTTCTGAAATGACAAACAAACACTGAAAGGGAACATGCAGGGGAAGCACGAGCTGTTGGGCCTGGAAAGCCTGTTTGCTGGGAAGGGTCTCTGGGGTGCTTTGCAGTCAGTGTGTCGGAAGAGGAATGATTGCTTTCTGTTACTTTTGTATTTTTCTCTCTGTTTTTAAACAACTGGTAGTTGTGCTTGAAATGAGCCAAGTAAAGGTTAGAAACTTCAGACTGTCCCTCTTTGTATTCACTGAGTGCATGTGGGCTGAGCGGGGCTGAGTATGGCAGCACAGGGGTGGTGCACAGCCTGGGCTCTGCTCCTCTCTCTTAGCATTGCTTTTTGGTGATGGGAGAGCAAAGCAGAGCCTGCCAGGGGAGCAGATTTCAGTGGGCTTTGGATGCGTAGGGCTTCCACACCAACTTGGTGAGCAACACACCTACTCTTACAACAGAAAAAGGAAAAGCAGGATTAAAACAAAAAGCAGAAGTGACAGCAGCTTTAGTTATTCCCTAAGTGACACAAGTCAGGCTCAACAGGATGGATCAGTTCTGTGTCTGAAATGCTCCAGGGGCTTCCCACAAACACAAACACAAACACTGAGTATTGAACGTTCGTCAGACGCTCGTGGAAAGCTCTCGAATGTTGTATTGCATTCAGATGGGTCTCAGAACTCCTTGTCCTCTGTCCTCCTGCTGGGAGCTGCTGGGTGTCAGATGACAACCTGGTGAGCATCTCACCCACTAACAGGTATGTGACAAGCCCTCAGATCTCACGGTTCTCTGAGTTAACACTGAAAGGTGGAGCAGCTCAGGTGTGGAAGAGGTGAAAAACGGAGTGGTGAAATACAGCGCTGGTTGAGAGCCTGCATCCGAGAGCAGGGAGCATTCAAACAATGAGAATGGGGTCTGTTTGGGTAGGATTTGGCTTAACAAAATCAAGAGGCAGGTAATTATGCTCTCTGGGAGCTGGGGTGGTTCAGTTCACCTGTAGCTCAGAGATGACTCTGTCCCCACTGAGTGCTTTGCTAGTGATTTCTTTGGGAAAGTGCCCGCGTGTAAACTCTGAGCAAAGCAGAACACCAAGATAAACAGAGCACAATGTACACTTTTTTATTACCGAAATTACCTTTCTGCCAGGCATTCCCTGTTCCAGCTCAATAAATTTGTGTGTTTCATGCCTCGACAGAGGTTTCTCCTTTTGGCCAGCTGCTATTCCTGTCAAACCAGGCCGTGTGAAGAGCTAGAAGGAGCAGAGTGTTTCCAAAGAAATTCCTGGCACTTAGCACAGCAACAAGTTAACTCGAATCCAAGTTTCAGACCAAACTGAAGTGGTTTTGTTTGCAGTCTCACTCGTCCACACCTTATGGCTTCAGTAGAACTTTTCCCCATTAATACATATTAAATGTAGGTCTGTTGTGCAACTTAAGGGTGGAATGGAGCTGCTGAGTGTGATCAGAACCAGCAGGCTGCTTTGGAGAATCTGGAGCCAGAGAGAGCTGCTCTTTGCAGAGCTTTCACTTTTTCCTTTCACTTCCAGCAGTGATTACTGGCACTGAGAGATCAAAACCATCAAATGCAAAGGTGACCTTTCGAGCAAAGTATTTCCTTTACTCATGTTGCAAAATAAAAACAATATCCTGGACGGGGCGCAAATGAATCACTCTCTGTTGACATCATTAAAGAGTGTTTATTTAATCGGGGGAAGGCATGAAGCACAATGAGCTCTTTGTCATTAAATGATGTCATTTCACTTGGTTTCTGCTGTGAACGACATGGCAATGCCTGGCGTATTGTGGGACTGACAGCAGTGCAGATCAGTGCTGCCCAGCAGAGTGAGGAAAGAGCTTTGGCTCAGCAGCCTGCTTGAGTAACAGCATGCATGGCCCCGCTGCCCTCTGTGGCCACTTTCCGAGACAGAAACCTTTGCACTGGGAGTCAGAGAAAGTGGGGTAATAAAGGCACTGAGTTGAGTACTGATCCAGCCTTACAGCTGGGATCTGGCCTGGGTTTGAGAGGAATTGGTTTTGCTGCAGGGAAGAAGCAAAGGCAAAAAGCCACAAAGTGTCATTTGAAAAAGATTTTTATTATTTTGTAGAAAAAATAAAACATCAAGTTTCAGCCACAGTAGAAACACTTGAAGGTTTTTGTTCATGTCAATGACAACCAATACCTACATAAAGTGCCTATTGTTTTCTCATTTAAAAAACCCTTCCCACTCCCCCCGCCCCCCAAATCTTGCAAATCAGACAAGACAAATGTAAACAAGAGTCAGTTTTTGGTCCATTGGGGCTGTAACTCTGCAAAGTCTTTGCAACAGCTTAGAAGTGTCTTCTGCACGTGTTTGGCGAACACAGACAAACACACGACACAGAGCCAGAGTCCGTGCACAGCTTCTCAAGTAAAAACAAACAGAAGGAAACAAAAAGAAACCCATAAGCCCCAGGTGGATTCTCACAGGTCTCTGCCCTCCTGACAGCAATGCCCTGGCCCAAGGCTGGGCAGTTTGGGAGTGCTCATCCCTGCAGCTCACCCTCTGCACTTTGCCATTATCATCTCCCCGATTCCCTCCTGCCTCCAAGTCCTCCCCCTCTCCCAACGTGTGCCCCGGAGGGGGGGAAACCGATGGGAGGAGGGAGGCTGGAGAAGAGGCAAGTCTGTGCCCAGCTGGGTGCGTGCCCACCCTCCTGCCTGCCCAAAGTCCCGTTGGAAACGAGCATCCTTCCCCCTTCCCTTCCTTCCTTCCTTCCTCCCTTCTTCCCTCCTTCACACTGGGGCTCCTAGCTGATCACACAGCGGTCCTTCTCCTTGCCGTGCCCTCCGCCGATGGCTTTCTCACGGATGTACATGAGGTCGCTGTGGACGCTGGGCCGGCGGGCGAAGGGAGCCACGACGCCGTACGCCTCCTCCGTGCTGCCCCGGCCGCCCTCTTTGAGCAGCTTTTTGCCTTTCAGAGCCTTCTTGTGCAGGATGTCGCAGTACTGCACCGAGACCTTGCGGTGCAGGTCGGGGCTCATCTCGCTGGGCAGTTTGGCCATGGCGAAGAGCGCCTGGAACATCTGATCCAGGCTGCTGTTCTTTTTGGCCGAGATCTCGAAGTAGGCACATTTCTTGGGGTCTGTGCCCACCAACTGCTCGATCTCTCGGGGCTGCACCTCCCGGTAAAAGTCCCGGTCGCCTTTGTTACCGCAGATGACCAGGGGCACCTCGATGTTCTCCTTGGTTTTGTTCTTCAGGCACGACTTGGTCTCCAGGATCTGCTGTTTCAGGCGCTGCACCTCCTCGAAGGAGTCCCGGTTGTCCAGGCTGAACACAAGGATGAAAACATCACCTGGAGACAAAGCAGGGATGTGAGATGGGGACGCACACACCGACCCATGGATACACAGGGAGGGGAGAACCAGGCAACAAAGTCACACACCCAACACACGCACAAAATCCCACCCAGAGACGGGCAGAAAACCATCTCTGAAGTGACCAAGAAAACTTGAACTCCAGCAGGAGAACCCAAATTTCCTCCTGGAGCTCCCATCCACGTACCTGTGAGGATGGACAGGCGCCGCATGGCGGGGAAGGGGTGGTTGCCCGAAGTGTCCAGGATGTCGAGCTGGTAGACCTCACCGCGGATGCTGTAGAACTTGCGGTGGAAGTCCTCGATGGTGGGAGTGTACTGCTCCTCAAAGCGCCCGGTGAGGAAGCGCGAGACGATGGCTGTCTTGCCCACCTTGGAGGAGCCCAGGATGACCATTCGGTAGCAGTTCTTGGCGGGGATGCTCAGCTCAGCCTCGCTGGGACACATCTTCTTGATCATCGCTGCCAGTTTCATTGAAGCCGGCCGAAGTGCAGCTTGCGCCGAGAGGATGAGGAGGAGGAAGGCGAGGTGTGCCCGGCTGCTCGGCCCCTCTCTCTCCCAGGCTGGAAGGCCGCTCTGAGCTCTGCACGCCCGCGGTCTCCGCGTTATATGGAGGATGCAGCGCCCGCCCCTCGGCGCGTCACGGCCCGGGGCTGAGTCAGTGCCGCCCCGCCCCGCCCCGCACACGGCGCGGTTCCGTCCCGCGGGCGGTGCGGCTGTGGGTGCGGGTCTCGGCGATCCGCCCGCCCCAGACGGGGAGCGGAGGGTCCGGGACGCGGAGCAGAGACCTCGGGGAGCCGCAGCCCGGCTTCGTTTCGCGCTTACAGTCCCGTGCGTGGGATAAGAAGCAGAAATGGCGCTTTTTGGGGAGTTCGGGGCACAGCGCAGGAGTGGGAGCCGAGAGTCGGGGTGCCGCCAGGTGCTGCAGCCCTGAAAGGGGGACTTTGTGCTTTTTGTTGGGATCCCGACCCGAGCTCTGCTACCCCAGGCTGATACAAGCCCGTCCTCAGCTCCTTCCTCAGCCCTGTCCCGAGCCCAGTCTCGGCTCGACCCTATCCCACTCTCAGCCCATCCCGACCCTATTCCCATCCCCACTCCAACCTGTCCCTCTCCCCATCCCGACCCCATCCCAGCCCCTGCCCGCACCCCGCCGCCTGCAGCCCCTCCCGCCCCCGCTAGAGCGCGGCCGAGGGCCCCAGCGCGGCTCGGGCTGAGCCTCCCACCCGACCCCCCCCGAGGAGGACACGGCTGCACCCCGGACCCGCAGCCCCCGGGGCGGTGAAGGATGATGCTCGTGGGAATGCAGGGATGCTCCTGCCGGCGGCTGGCTCTCACCGGAGATAGGTGCGATTGAGAAACTTTGGATGAACAACACCTCTGAGGGTGTTCAAACAAACAAACACAGCGACTTTGCAAAAGTCGATGCTTAAACGTGGTTCCGAAAAGCGGAAGCTCCACCTGCAACATTGCACGGGTCTCAGGGACGGGTGGAAGCTGGAATTTGTGGAGCACGGGGCATTTCAGCAGCACTGCTGAGGAAATGGATGCTGCTGAGCTGACCGTCTCCTCTGGGGGTGTTCTCGCACTTGGAGGTTAATTTAAGCGCTCTCCAATGGTTTATGGAGGAGCTGCAGCTGTGAGGCAGCAGCCGAAGAGCCGCAGCTCTGGCAGAGGCTGTGGGACGTGGTGTGGATGGGACTGAGCCCGTATTGATCCGAGTGCGAGGCAGAGAGCAGCGCCAAGGGCCCATTATAAAGCACAGATGTATCAACCCAAAGTAACGAAAAGATCATTTAATTGTAGCAGCTGACGGAGAGCAGCAGGAGGAATAAGAAGTGCCTACCTCTGGGGGACAGACACATCAAATACCTTGATTAGATCTTGCTGGTAACCGTACCCCTATTAATAGTGCCAGGAATGGGTAAAAATAGCCTGCTCGAAGCCTTCTCTTGGGCTAGCAGGCTTTAGCAAATGGAAAATCCATTTCTCCAAAGGGCTCTTTGGTGACAGCAGAGGTGTGGGCTGGGTGTGGGGGTGCAACAGGAGCCGTGACCCCCGGGTATGAGGAGTGGGATCGGGGCTGGCAGAGCCCACATCCACCATCCATCAGCCCAGGGCGCAGTACCCGAGGCTCTCTGAGAATCACGCAGAGCCAGAGCAGAGCAGCATTATGAGGCATTAAGCCTCAGTCCCCCAGGAGCACCTCAGCACTGCCGGTGCACACAGAGCACGCTCGCTTGCATCCTGTGATGGATGAGCACAGCCCCACCTCGCCGTGAGGCAGCGCCTTCCCACGGATACGGCTGTCAAAAACCCACCGCCTATTTCTGAGCTGGCTGCAGATTGCCTGAGCCCGAAGCAGGGGCAGCTATGGCAGCATTTCCCCCAACTGCAGTCCAACCCACCCCGGTGGGTGCTGGCTTTGCAGGCTTTGCAGGATGCGGGCCCTGTGCCTGCTAACACTCTGCATGAAGCCTGCAGGTTGGGGGAACTTTTTTCTGCAACCCAACATCCTCAGCACCGATCGCTCCCTGCTGTTCTCAGTGTTTCTTTTCACCCATCCATGTTTCTACCTCAAACGGAATTCCACGAAAGTGGCACAAATGGGCAGAACGTGCAGCTCCCCAGGGTCCCACCCGGACACGCTGTGCCAGTGGAGGTGTAGGAAGCAAAATGTACCAGAAAGCTCTGAGCGTGCATAGCACAGCTGAGCCTGGAAGAGGAGACCTGGAGGGACGCTCGGAAAGGAACAATTGCATCAGCACACGGCTCTGCTTGCTGCTGGAGACAAGAGGTGTCTGCACCCAGGGCTGTGCTGCTTCCCATGAGTCCAAAGGGTTAAAAGATGAGAAGGGACTGTGTCAACCTGGGGTTGTTCTTCATTCCCTATATTATTAGCTTGTCTCATTTTATTAAATCCCCTTTATGGCTTTTCAAAAGAAGCATGTAATTCACAACATATAATTTTTTCCCAGATGAGATGCAGGGCAGCAGTGGGCTGCTGTGTCTCTGAGCATCAGGGGCTGCTTTCCTTCCTTCACCCTCCTACTTTTTTTTTTTTTTTTTTCCAACACTTTTCATGTCTCCTGTTTACCCTTGTGGTTTGATCAATAGAGAGTTTGAAAGCCAGAGATGCCTCAAATCTCCAACTATTGTGTGCATAGAATCAAAGAATCACCACCAAGGTTGGAAAAGACCTCTAAAATCATCCAGTCCAACCAGCACGGCTCCTGCTGTGGCATCACATGTGCATGAGGCAGCTCTGTGCCCTGCTCTCCTGGCATTCTGCATCCTCTCCTCTTCTCCCATCACTTCTTTTGATGGGCTTCTAATTATCATGACTGGGATGGGACCCAGCTCACAGCTGTGCCATGTGCTTGGAGCGGCCAAGCACTGCACAGGGCTCAGCTTCACAGCCCAGGGACAGCAGAAGCATCTGGATCTGTACCCAACTCCAGCAGCACCTGCTCACTTCTGAGGAGCATCAGCCACCCAGGGATTAGAGAGAAATGTCACCTGTAACCGGACCTGGGTGGCTGCAGGCCTGGAATATAGGGCATGGGGGAGAGAGAGGCTCGGTGACCCCAGCAGTTGCGTTGCTGCACATTTCAGGAGGGTTCCCATGGAAATGGCAGCAGCTGCCAGGGCAATGGGACAAAAATAAAAGGCCTTCAGATGAAAGCAGAGCCCAAGAGGCAGCAATCAGAGATGGGATCTCCAGGCTGTGGGGCTGCTCAGCACCGGCATCCAGCTGCAGGCAGCCGCTGTGAGGATGAGTCCCATCACATCCCTTCCTCCGGGGCTCTGATGAAGCAGTCAGTGCCCAACCTGCTCCTGAAAGCCCACGTACTGCTGGGCAGCGCTGTGCTCAGTCCTCTCTTCCTTCCGCACCAAACCCCAACTCACCCACTGGTGCCAGACCAACCCCTGCATGGCCACACTGATCCTCAGCGCTGGGAAACAGTGCAGGAGCACCTGCAGAGTCCTGGGGCCTCATTCCCCTCTTGCTGTCCACACTGCTAAATTGCCAACTCAGCAAAAATCCCAGCCAGGACCATGCGGGAACGATGCGGGGTTGCAGCCACTGCCAGCTCTGCTGATGTGAGAAGTGCTCGCTCGACTGCGACTTGTGTTTGTTCTCTGTTACTGCCTAATAGTGTTTGTGTTCCACGTAAGGGCCGATAGCCTTTTCTCCCTAAGGTGAGGGAAGTGCAGTGCTGGACGCAAGCAAACATTGCAAACAGGTGATGGGTGGTCGCTGTGGAGTGTGGGGCTCCAGGACTGCTTGTCTGGCTCTGATGCCTCCAAGGAAGAGCAATCAGGATGCAGCCCAATGTGCCCCTTCAGAGGGGATCCCAGCAGTGCCATGCACTGCAGCAACTTGGGTTTGCATGGGTAGTTGTCCCTAAAAAAACATCCCATGGAGTTTGATGTGTTCAATACCACATGCATACAGTACCACGTGTGCATGGAGCTCGTGCAGCGTTGGCACAGAAGGGGAATGTGGGCAGAACCCTGCTGACATGTGACTGAGGGCAGCGCTGGGGTCCGTGCTGTGTGGGGTGAGCAGGGGCACAGCGTGCAGTGGCCGCACTGACCTGGCTGTCCCTGCTGCCAGCAGTTGTCATTTAACCAGCTCCTCCTTTTCTGGTGTTTGCATTGGAGAAATGCACCGAGCGCAGGGAGTTATCTGCTGTATCTGCACACGGCCTCGTGCCACTTTCCCCCAAGGCTGCAAACAAACTGCTGTGCCAAGCCTGAACATCACAGCAGGCCCTGCGTGGCACCGGCAGTGTGAAATTGGGCACAGCCCCAGAGATGAGCTGTAGGGAGAGGGAAGGGTTGGGTGTGAAGCACCCACTGCACTGGGAATGAGGCAGCACCAACACGGCTCTCGCTGTGTTCCCGTGAAGCAATCCTTCCTAACAAGCACAGCAGCTCTTCTGCAAACACCGATTTCACCTCTCAATAGATCTGAATTTATTTGCACGAGTGACTTCGAGCCTGGATTGGCAACTCTGACACAAATGTCTGCACAGTGCAATGGATCCTCTCCTTGCTGGTTGCTATGGCACTGGGCTGCTTTAGCCTCTGTCTATAAACATTCAGTGTGGAGGGGATGTGGAAACTTATCTAAAAATAAAATACTATGCCCAAGTCTTTAGGAGGAAGGTCGTCGAGATACCAATAAAAAAATAATCCTTGTGCAATGGCTCAGAAACAGAAGCACAGCATCCCTGAGCCCTGCTGGAGGAAACAGGAAAAGAAAGAAAAGAAGAGAAAGAAACCGACACTTTTAATTCCCGTTGAGCAATGCTGGAAGGGTGAGTTACAGCCGGGCACGAGCAGGAGGGAATGGGACTGACGTGCTGGGAGAAGAGAGGACCTTCTCCAGAGGGGATGTTGTGATGCTGGGACGAAGCACGGCGTCACTACAGGACCAGACTCAGCCCGTGTCCCCGCGGGAGCCGGGAGCATCGCTGATCCCTTCCCTTTAGATTTTGGTGGCTTTTTTTTTTTTTTGGTCATTTATAGCTTACTTCTCAAACCGTTCTGGGAATCTGTAAACATTGAGTATGGGGCTGTGGCATCAGCCCTGGGACCTTCTTTCTGGAGCCAGATCCAACAGCAGGGATGAGCCCAGGCTGCGTTTCATCCCGGCTGGTTGGGGCAAGGCACTGTGCGGTGGGATGGTGGGCAGAGCCTCGTGTGGCCGTGGGGAAAGGAGGAGATGCATGGGGTTGGAGGGGCTGGATGGGGTTTGCCCCTGGGGCCCAGAGAGCCATGGGGCAGTGGGGCACCGGCACCAGGGGACTGCTCACTCTGCTGATGGGGACTGAATCTTTCCATTGGTCTTTTCCACTTCCAACCTGGTTTCTCCATGCTGGGGCTTTGCCGTGGTTCAGCTGCCATGTCTCTGTCCTCTTGGGCAGTGGTTTAGGTGGGACATTCACATCTATGTGCCTTGCTGTCCCCTGTCTGGGAGACTTTGCAAATAGCACAAAGATGCTACAGAGCTCTGCAGCGGTGGGAAAGCACTGGGGTGGACGAGGAGGTCTCTCTGCTCTGGACGGGTGTATGGTCAGATTTGCAGCAGCTGCCCTTCTTCCTTCCCCTGCAGTTTGAGACCTGCATGGGGCACCACTTTGATCAAGCCATGCCTCTTTGGCAGTGTCTGTTTGCTACAGAGGATCAGTGAGCTGTGCCCTCCTCTCCACGTCCAGCCTGCAGAGTGAGCAACGAGGTCCAGTGTGCTGTCCAAAAAGCACAAAGTGTCCAACGTTGAGGAATGGCTGTCCAATGCACCCCATCCTTAGCAGCTGTAGGCATGGAGGATCACCTGCTGCCATGCTGCTGCATGCTCAGACCTTGCATCCAAAAGGCCCCTGGTGCCTCCATTGCTGTTCTGCCCTCCAGGCTGGTGCTGGAGCTGGGTTGCTTCGTGCCTGCAGATCTTCAGCTGTCAGTGTGGGAGGACAGGTCGGGGGGCTGAATGGGGCTCTCCAGCTTCTGTGCCGTGCTCACACTGTTCCTCTGATGGCTTCCAAGACTGCAGAGTGCTCAGTTGGCTCATTAGGGGTTGCTGGGCTAATTACTAGGAAACATCTCAGTAGGAAAATGGGCAAATTGGACAGCACAAGGCACAGCAGGGCACACTGCACTGAGGTGTCTGAGGCACTGCATTGTGAGAGGCAAAGAGCAGAGCCTGGTAAGGACCTCGTGCAGAACCCAGAGCACATGGCATGGCCATTTTGGAAACATACCTGTCGCTAATTGCTCTTTGCTCCCTTCTGTTTCTGACGGTAGATTTCCTCCGTGAAAGGTCTGTGGGTGCAGGCATGGGAGAAGGGCAAAAGAAGGAGGAAAGAAGATGAAACAATGAGTGCCGCACACTCTGGGGGAGCCCACCTCCCTCTTCCCACCTCCCACAAAAGACCTTTCCCAGTGCTTCTGAGACCATTCTGGGTATTTCACCCAGGGCTGTTGGACAGCTGTGGGGTGAAATATCAGAGAAGCTCTTCCAAGAAATTAACAAATGCAAAATGTTCTCCTTGCACCCCATCAGATGCCATTATGAGCCCTCTTCCTGCCTTCCTCATTGCTTTCATATAGACAGAAATAGGCATCCGAAAGAGAAAAAAAAAAACATATTTTGGTAAAAATAAGCAAATGGACAAATGTTCCTAGAACTCAGCACATAGTTTCAGAAAGGAATCTGCCCATTAGCAAAACAATTGGAAAACAATTCTCTGTTTTACTTATTCCCCGCTGAATGAATCGGAAAAAACATCTCTGCAGTTCCCTGAAACCTTGGGAGTTAAAGCTGGTAGAAATAATTAGAAGCTCTCCAGTTTTGCAGAGCTACTCACCCCTCATACAGCACTGCAATTGTGTAGGAAATTGCCACTACAGCTGTCAGCAAAAGGCCAGCTGGGCTTGCATGCCTGTTTTGAAAGAGAAGGAAAAGATCAGGTGAGTACACGGGCTTATGCAAGACCTGCTTTAGAAAGTGAAATGAGACGTTAGGCTCCACGAGAGCACTCTCTTGCTCATTAAACAGAAGTGAACAAAAGATGGATTTTTTGTGTGTGCTTAATGTTAACTGTCTTAGACAGATGTTACTTGGCAAAGACTCTTCCCCAGCCTACTTCGGCAACTTCTTTCAAGTCTGATCCCCGCATGTCTCTGTTCAGAGAGTTTCTGCTTTGATGCTAAGTCCTGAGATTATAAGGCTGCTTAATAGCTGAGCAGCTGCTTACGTACGGCTGTGGCTCCAAGCCAGTGTGCTATAAGGGAAATGCCTGATGTGCACAGAAATACGGCCACCCGGGGTGCAGGAGGCACCTGGCAGACAGAGCAGCGTATGGCTGTGTAGACATTGAGCTGAGCCATCACAGGCTGAGATGGAAGGGATGGAAGTGATGGCAAGGATGGGAAGAGATGGAAGGGGTGGATAGAATACAAGGGATGGTAAGGTTTGGAAGAAATGGCAAAGAATGGCTGGTGAAGGCAGTGGGGTTCATTGCTAAGGCCCCAGCAGTCTCCAAACCAGGCACCAAGAGTGCTCCATGATGTGCAAACTCCCTGCAGAGTCCCAGTCTCATCTCCCCAGCCAGGAGCATGGCTGTGTCCAGTTCATTGCTTAGCATTAGACTCCCAAACCTCCTTTCTGCATCCTACGCCTCTAGCTACTGGCTGCACGTGCCCTTAATTAAGACACTGCTGCTTGTCTTTAATTGCTGGTTGGAGCTCAGCTCTCTGATGAGGACAGGAGTTGGCTGTCAGCAGAAAAATGTACTTAGCTGGTCCCTGGTGAGGATAAATATCTTGCAATCCTCATGCAAGGGGACCAGCCCTCTGGGAAAAAGTGCCTTTAGAGGAGAGACCAAATGACCTGAGCCCCACGCCACCCAAAGCAGCCATCAGGTAGCACCTGGCCACATCAGTTCCTGGAGAGATGTACACAAATCTTCACTTTTTCACTGCTTCCATTTTACAACAAGGTTTTTTTCTCATTAGGAAACATAGGACAACTTCTTCATTCCCAACCTCCTGCTATTACATGCTTAGTCATGTCTCCTCCATGATTTGTATCAGAGAGAACAAATTTGCATGATTGTTTGTTGACAGCAAGACCTCTAATTGCATCATTTGGCTGCAGTGCCTGCTCTGATTTACACAGCCTGTTGCCACGAGTTAAAGCACTTCCCCTGCCACAGATACATAAGGCCACCTCTAGACAACTAATGCTCCATTTGTCTTTCGGGAGAAACGAGACTGCTCGATTGGAGCAATAAGAAACATCTTGGTGTTTCACTCCTCTTATGAGCTCGACCTACTTCTTGGGCAGCAGCTCATTTTGTAGCAAGGTCAATGATGAGTCAGACGAGTAGGTTTTGTGGTCCTGGTAGCAGCCAGGGGCTTTTTTGAGAGTTTGTCTGCCCTTGCTGCATCTCCACATTGCTGTAGACGTTTTGCAAGAGCAATGCTTGTGAGCTCATATCCTTCCCTTCCAGCACTGCTGGTCCTGAGCACTGAACATGGGGCATTTGCTCCAGTTGTAGACTTGCTGCTCCCATTTTCACGACAAGTGTGGAGGAAACCTCTCCCTGTGCATCCTGTAGGCACAGCAAGGAGCCCTGGCTGCTCTGTGCCCGTTGCTCGCTGTGTGCAGAAGGGGTCAAAGTGCTGCCCGCTGTGTACTTAGCAGACACATTTGTTTTGTCCAAGGAGCTGCCATTAGCTGAGTCTGGGATATGTGCAACATCCTGGAAAGGAGAAAATAGCAGCTCTGGCCTCAAGTGATGCTCTTAATGCCGGAGTCCTAATCATAGGCTGTCTGGGGTGCTGCCAGACTCGCTTAAATTACGCAGTATGTACCCTTGTGGATGTAAATGAATCAAATCCTTGGGCTCTGATGCCACAATATGGGTGTAATATATCACTGAGGGAGGAGAAGTATGCTCTACATTTCAGGCCTGTCCAAAACCAGCCAGAAGTTGTGCTCCTCGTGTGCCAACAGCTCAGCTGCACATCCCTGCTGCCAGAACTCCGGCTCTGACCCACATCTCAAAGCCCTGTGGCCCCATGGAGAGCTCAGAAGAGCCCTAGGATCCCAATTACAACTCAGAAACCCAATCCGAGATCCCAGGGAAGAGAGACAGTCACCATCACAGTGCTCAGGGCTGTGTGGAGCTCCCACAAGACCAGGCGCGCCGTGCCCTGGTGCCACTTTGCACAGCTCCAGCAATTTGTCAACAGCAATTGTTGCTCACGCCTCGCTGCCCTTTATGGTGGCAGCCTTTTAATGAGAAAAAGAGGCAATCGTGCTGTTGTCTCGAGCTGCTTCAAGCTTCTTTTGCCCAGGACTGTGGCTAAAGACCAAAGTGAAGTGCACCCAGCATGAAGCTGCTCCGTCATGGGGGTGAAGGAGGAATTTCTGCAACACAAACAGCTTGAGAGGGCTCATCTGGTTGGGCAGGGATTCTAGGAAATGGCTCAATTGTAAAATAATACGAATCTCCTTACAAGCTCTCCATCCAAATACCTCTTTGTGGGGTGGCATGTGCTGTTCTGTCCCCCCGTCCCCTGCAGCTCCTGTCCCCAGCTCTTGCGCACTGTTTCCCGGGGCTTGGGCCCAACCCAGCTGCCATGGGGCTGCAAGGAAGGCAAAGGGTGCAGTGCAGTGAGCCCTGACGGCTGCAGGGGGGATGTCAAAGTGCAGAACGAACACAAGGCTCAGTGACACAGGCTTTACTCATTAACAGGGGCCAGAAAGCACTGCAGTGCTGTGCATGTGGCTGGGAAGGCAAGAAGTGGCAAAGTGTTTTGTTTTCCCACTGATGTATAAGAGAGATGTCCCACGTGGCAGTGCCTGTGCAAAACACCAGGTGATAAAGTCCAGCAGTACTCTACGGGCTCCCGACACAACCCTGCTGTGGTTTTTACTCCCAGGCAAATAAATAAAATGTGATATCAAATGAAAACCACATAAAACTTATTACACAGAATTGAGTATATTGCTCATTTACTGCTAAATTACAGCCTATTCATTTCCTCCTAAGCAGGCTATTAAGCTGTGTTGTATCACGAGGAGTTTTTCGGAAGTGCTATCACCATGCAGTGGGGGGGAGGTGTGCTGGCTTGTTTTGTTTCTTCCAGAGGTAATTACAGGGTCACACCAATCCCTGGTATCAGTGCCTGGCCCCCGCTGAGCGACACCCGGCATGAATTCGGCCCTGGCTGTTGATTTTTCCATGTGCAGAGCTTGCCAAGGATCCCATTTGGCTGCAGAGCATTTGCTGATGTTTCCTCTCCCCAGCACTCGGCCGTTATTTATTTTTCGACAATTAATTCCACACGTCTTTTTATGACAGAGAAAGGCTTTGCGTGTGCAAAAATAGTTGGGAAGCGAGAAGCCAGGGCGTGCTGCACCTCCCCTGCTGCTTTACTCCCCAGCTGTGCCTCTGCCGTCACCAAACGTTTATTTGGCTGCCGATTCAAGCCAGCACCTTACCCCCCCAAGTACCATGACAGGAGCACATACTCACATGAGGGACCAGCCCAGGTAGACAGCCGTGCTGCCCCAGTACATGGGGTTATCCAGGATGCTGAAGGGGAAGCAGGTCACTTTTGCCTCCATCAGGATGCCAAAGTAATCCCCTGTAGGGTGAACAAAGGGTTTCTCATTAGGCTCCATGAAGTGGGGTGGATCAGCATGCAACGCCATGGGGCATCCCTGCCATGGAGGCAGAGCAACGGCAAACAAAGGGTTTTGCTGCTGACTGTCAGGCTGAGAAAACAGCAGCAAATAGGCTGTGTTTACTCCATCTCCATCAGCTTTTCCGGGAATGGCTCTCTGCCCACCAGGAAGGGTTGTGCATTTGTGCATTGCAGTGAGGCGATGGCAGCTACATTCCTCATCAGGACACAGCTCTCGAGGTGCCAACTGGTTGGTTCTGCTTTTTCATTTGAAAATCGCCCCTCTGAAGCCACTTGATGAGGAAGCGAGTGCACAGGATCAAATACATCTAATGGGGAAATAAGCCCGGTGCACAGTAATGGTGCTTCGTGACGGTACAGCTGAGAGCGCCGCCACCAAATGCCCCCATTCAGTGCCACTCTTATCTCATAGTTCAGAGAATTTCTCAGAATTTCAGAAAATAGCACCTCTGCCTACAAAACGCTCAATTATCGGCACGATGATGATGATGATAATAGGTGATTTTCATCTGTAACGAGGAAAGCTTTCAGAACTGTCAGCTTCCAACAAGCTTCCTATCAACCTCAGAGTAATCTTTCCATGACAAGCGAGGAGATGCGTGCAGAGGCATTTGGGGGGAGTGACAGGGCTGGGATGCAGAGCTTTGGCTTCTTTGGGCTTATAATGAGTCCATGAAGGCCAGCAAGGATTTTGCTCTGTGTCCTTGGCACAAGACACAGCGTAACCCAGCGAGCAGCCCATGGCCACGGGTTGTGTCCCCAGCCCATTCCCTGCCCTTGGGCAAATCTCTTCGTCCCTCCCAGTGCCATTGTGCACTGATCACAATACCAGTCTTTCTCGTAGTGCAGTGGGGGTGAGGATTAATGGATGGTGAGAAAGTGCTTGGAAATTCAGATAAAAGGCATGATGGGAGTGCAAAGTATTCAAGGTTATTATTATTACCTGGATCGTGGTGTAATTTCTTTGACCTCACGTGGTGCAAAAACATTTATTTCCAAGGATAAATAGCGCCTGCCCAATTATACAATGCTTTTGGGCTTTAACTACAGGCCACTAAGTGAGATAATTGCCTGGTATTCACACGACATGTTCTCACAGTCGCTTGGCAATGCGACTCAGAGATTGTTCTGCTAGAAAGCCCCCCCGAAGCCACAGCCCATTGCTGTGCTTTCTTCTGTGTCAAAACGTTCATTATCCCCTGCCGCCCTCGCCTTCGGGTGGAACACTTTGCTCCCCAAAGGGCGCTGGCACGGGGGAGGTTTGCACAAAGTGAATGCAAGCAGCAGCGAGGATCTGCAGACCTTTCATCCTTATATATAGCAGTGCTTCCCACAGCCCCCCGAGCCTGACCCGGAGCTGCTGGGTACACCATGACCCACTGATGGAGTCTGGTCAGGTCCAATTTGCTTGAAATCTTGGTCAGTCTTGAAAGGAACTGTGCTTGGGTGCAGACGGATGGGTTTGGGTATGCAGTGCAGCCCTCGGCCTTTGGGAAGTCAAGCACTCATTATTGCCTGTGTCAGAAAATAAGGCAAATGGCTCCAAAATAAATTCCAGCCAGTGCATGGCTGGGAGAAGGGGAGAGAGAAGAACTGCCAGGGCAATGGGCTGCATCCAACCACAGCAGAGAATGGGAGTGGCACCACTGGGATCTAATGGGCAGCCCTGATGCAATTTCCTTGTCCTGCCTGCTTCAGCACTCACTGCTGTAAGAAAATCCAAAAGGGAAAGGTCCGATGCTGTCTCAGTCAGTTTATTAAATGCTTGGGAATCTCTTGCTCTCTCAAAACGTCTCTTGAGCTCAGTCGACTGAGAAGATCAGGATGATGTCGTTACCCTCTTCTTGCTGAAGAAGCTCAGTTCTTTGCCTCCTGCAGCAAGAAGTGTCAGCGCTGCCCGCGCCAGTGCTGTGTGTGCAAAAGGGTGGTGAGAGCACAGTCGTGAGCCAGACAGCACCCACGTGAACCCCCTGACTCCTGCAGACCCCTCCTTGCTGCTGACTCAGTGGGATGAGCACAAGTGCCACTACGAGCCACCAGCACCCAAGTCCTCCCTGCTCAGAGCACAGGGCTGTGCCCCTGCTTACGCTGAGCCTGACTCACCCGTTTGCTTTCCCCCTGCGGTTCAAGCCCAGTGGGTCCTTGTGGGCAGTGAATCAGGCTTTGCGTAAGCAAACCCAGAGCTGGCTGTGCTTCAGGAGCGCTCAACCAGTTCGAGCTGATGGGTGCTGCCCTGCCTGGCCTCCCGGACATGTCTCCATGCACACAGCATCACTGTGGGTACGTTCTGCCCCACGGCTGGGGGACAGGGATGCAACACGGGGTGAGGAGCGTCGATGTCGAGAGCACACATCCAGGAGCGCTGGGATCTGTTTCTGGCAGCAGGATCTTGGCCAACTCAACACATTTCTTTGCGACTCAACTTGAAAGCAGGAAGGCTTATTCCCTCCCTCTCTTCTTCCTGGAGACGCGGCAGGAGCTAATTGAATTTGGTTTGTAAAGCACTTGCAAAAAGCACAGCCTAAATGCAGTGTCAAAGCTGGAGCTGTCATTATTCCAGCCAGCGGGAGCTGCCCCTTTCCTCTGGTATTTATTGTTCCTGTCTCTATTTTATTTTTATGAATTCCACACATACTGGCATGTTTCTAAAGTCAACAATGCTAATAGAATTACGCTCTAAATGTGAAAGCAGGCACAGTGGAAAATGCCTTTTGCCATGAAGCGGCAGATAAAAGAATCTGTCAGAGAATGTTGTGTTTATTGCAGAGGGGAAGAGCAAATGAGATGGTGCCTGAGCGTGTGCCGGACAGCTGTGGGCTCAGCACAATGCTGCTGGATGGCTCCTACTTCTTCATCCTCCTCTTCTTCCTCCTCTTCCCCCCGCGCAGTGCTGGTGCTGGTGCTGACCTGCTCACAAGATCTGCCCTTGGGCTGCCTTCTCTGTAGGACGTTTGATCTCTGAGATAATTAGCTGGTTTCTAACATTTCAGGCTTGACGCAGAGGGTGATTAGACTGGCTGTAGAAAATCACTGCACGATCATCTCCGTGCAAAGAAACAGCATGACTATGTCGTGCTTTGGTATCACAAAGCCAAGACCAAAAGTAACAGCACCCCGAAGACAAGAAGAGGAAATTCACAGGGGATTCTGCCCTACCAAAATCATAGACACAGAATATCTCGAGTTGGAGGGACCCACAGGGATGATGAAGTCCAACTCTGGGAGGATTAAATGACCTTTCTGGTTCAGCTGTTGAATTTTTAGTGCTTACCTAGGAAGGTCCCGGTGAATCCCAGTGCTAAGAAGCTGGAGATGACAAACAAGGTCCCTACAGCCATGATGGCTGAGCCTGAGTAATAGGCCCAGTGGCTGTCCAAGCCCTCCAGCTTCGGCTGGCTCTTCATGGCTTCTGTGAAGCTGTCGGAGAGACAACAAGGGCTGTTATAACAGCGACTCATTGCTAACATCACCCCTCCGGGAGATGCAGAGCTTTGGGGGAGGATGCTGTTGGGGGAGGACACTTCTCAGGGTCTCTTTTTTCATCTGAACCTACTCCAGCTCCCGATGGCAGGAGCCACAAAGTCTGGTGAGCAGCCGGGACTTGCCCCAGAGAAGTTATTTTTACTTGCAACCCTTGATGACTCCTGGAAATATCAGCCCTACTGCACTGCAATATCTAAAGATGCCCTTGAGTGTAAATGCTGGAGGCTGCAGAACCTCGGCACTGGGAGGGCTGGAAGCAGTTTGCCGGGTTATCTTGTGCTCCCACCCCGTTCCTCTCCTCCACCGAAATATTTTGCAGCCTTCATGTGTTCACCACGTGCCCAGGAGTGATTCATGGCTGCAGGCTGACAGGCAGGGGGAGGATTTGAACACCAAAAGGAAAACACGAGACACACAGATTTTGGAGTGTGAGCACTGCTTCTCATCGAGGCATTTCAGGTCTGACCTTCCCAATACTCATTTGTGAGTGCAATAATTGTGACCCCCATCTTGGGCCATCTGAACTTTGCCCAGGAGCAGGGCTTGGCCTCTCGCACAGCTCCAGTACCCATGTATGCCAACAAACAGGATAACTCCGTGATTAAGAAATGCTCATTAATAACAGTGAGATAACAGAGCCACAGTGCTGTATGCAGGATTTCTCCACATGTGTCTGACACACGAGCTAGGAAACTTGGAGCTTTTTTTTTTTTTTTTTTTTTTAAATGGGCACCCTGGAGGCTGAAATTCAAGTGGAATAACAGCACTGCTGCCTCTGGCCATCGCTGCCTGCCGGGCACAGTCTTTCCTCCTCGTGCTCCTGGATCTTCACGTGGAAGGAGCCCAGTGGTTTCCCTGGCTGCTCCACCACGCTGCAGGCAGGGCTGCCAACTGCTCTGACGTTATCTGCAGCATTTGGGATGTGTTTTTTTTTTCACGTCCAGCTCTCTGAGTCTTGCAAATCCCTCGGTTTTCTTTGCTGCCTCAATTGAAGCCGAGAGCCCTGCCAGAGATGTGGCTGCAAGCACACCTTGCAAAGCCTCAGAAGGCAGATGGAAGGCACACACCGAGCAAAGCCAAGGATGATTCCTCATCCTTATGCTTCAGAAACTTGGATGATATTTTTTGTTCTCCTTGGAGCTCTTTCCTATAAGATTTACTGCTCTTTGGGACCTTTTAGGCCCCACAGCAAGGTGGTTCATCTTCACTTTGGACTGGAGCAAAACATAGAATAAATATCATGTGCTTGGGAGAGAGCAAGAAAGAGCCTGGGAGAGTTGCTGCAGTGCCCAGCACACCTCCCTCTGCTCACCAGCATCAGTATGGTTCAGCTTAAAATCAGTGATGACGGAAACGTGCCATCCTGGCTTATCATGAAGCAGCAGCAGCCTCACATCCCTTTTCATGACATCCCTGGTATTTATTACTAAGTGACACAAGTGTCCCCTATGACGAAGCCCAAGCCTGCATCCCCGCTATCAGCGCAGCCTGGCTTTGTGTGGAAAGTGATTGCTCAGAGGCTGTTTTTGGCTCAGGGTGATCAGGAATCATGCCATTACGCATCTTTGAGCCTTCCCTTTCCTATGCTCATGACCCTGCTTGGCTTTGGAGTACAAAAAGAACAAAGGTGGCATGAATGAGATGACCACAAATCAGCTTTGCAACCAATGTGTGATGGGGGTTTGCTTTGGCAAAGCCATCTTCCCTGCTCCAGATGATCCCATTCCCCCTTTTTTTGGTATGGCTGCACTAGCTGCCCTCATCAACATGTCCCACTTAGTCCCCTGCTGTTCAGCTTACAGCTAGAAAGGGAGGTGTTTGCATGCAGATAATGGACTGCCTTTCCCTCGAGTGATGCTTTATATCTTCCTAAACACACATTCTATTTGCATTAAACATGATGCACACTGGAGTTTTCAGGATTGGTAAATAAACCTTTTAAGCATTTATGATGCCAGGCCATGACAAGCAGCATGGAGCTGTCAGAGACGGCAATTATTCTGGCATCTGTGACTGCTCCTGGGTGGCAGGGGAGCACGGCGGCTCTGAGGCTCACCCTCCTGGCACAGGAGGACGAGGCAGAGGCTGTCTCCTTCATGTCATGCAGCCGCTCCCCTTGCCATGTGCCTCTGAGTCACGTTCATTGCAGCCTTTATTTCTGGCTACATCTCACAGCAGTGTCCCAGCTCGGCGCCCAAGAGGACCCCAATTAGAGCCATGCTTTGTCCCAGTACCTGGAAATGCTTTGTGCGCAGAGCGGAGCGATTGCCATGGTGAGGAGCTCCTCTCTTACAGGGCAGAGATAGATGGGCTGTGACCTACTTTAATCACGCCCCTGGCTGCTGGCTTAAAGGTGCCTGTGTCTGGGGGGGCTCTGGAAAGTGCCCCCAGTTCTGAGGAGGGGATGATGCTTCCTCCAACATCTCCCCATGAGTATCTGTCAGCTTTCCACTGTGAGTGGTGCAGGTGTAAAACCCAAATCCATCAAAGCACTAGATTTGGCCAATTCCTGAGGGCCGCAAACAGCCCGTGGCCACCACAGTTGTGCACATTGGCTGGCTTTGCACCAGGGAGCCAAGGCAACAGGCACTGTTTGGCCCACCCTTCCCGAAACAGAGAGGCGCGCGCTCAGACACTCATCTGTTGCTACGCAGGCGGTGCTGCTGCGTGGGAATAAAGTACATGAACTGGAAAAACACCCGCAAAATGGCCCTGCAGCGTGGGGATGTGGACGTCATGCAGGTGGAAGTGGTTTTAACCCATGGTGCGTTGGGCACCAGGGCAAGAGAAATGTGCTGTGGGTACTGAAGGCACCGGCCAAGTTCTAGGAAGCAGGCGTTCATTTAGTTAAGAGGTGATTGCAACAGCAGAGAGCTTACCATGCAGCCTAAATACATCTCCAAAACCCACATGAAGCATGAAGCAAGCCTGGAAGTGCTGTATGGAGAGAGGAGCTCCAGGCCTCCCTCAAAATGTGGCCCACAGTGACCACATTTTATAATCCATTTCCCATAAAGGAGGGCAAAGACCTCATCAAGCAAACTGGGTCGCTGCTGTGATGCTACCTTTAATGATCCCAAAAATCAGCCTGGAAACTGGGCAAGTGCAATTGGGGCAGAACTGGGCCAGGGGCAGGAGGCAGCGGGAAGCAGCAGAGGTGTGGGACGTCCCCGTGCTGGAGGCTTTGTTCCTTGTGGCAATAGCAGGCAACGGGGGTGAACCCATCCAGTGGGGCCCAGCAGCAAACAGTGCCTCATGCACACTGCAACAAAAGACCTTGTTCATTAAAGAAACAAATGCTGAAATAGTCCTACCGGTAGCATCAGCAATTGTCAGCCTGGTCATCATCTTCACAGCTTCTTTTGCCAATAATGACTTCGCTTTTTTGCTTGCACCACTGTCTGTTATTTAGGTCACACTGTTTAGCAGCAGCTTATTCCCCTGCCTGGCAGTAGCACCTGGGAGTGCTTTGGGCCACCTGGGGTTCTTCCTGGATGATGTTGGAAGGGACTTTGGCTGCTTTAGGCTCAATTCTCATCAGAGCGTGGTCATTTCTGCACAAAGCACTCTGTCAGTGCCATTTACACCACTCTGTTTTGACACAAGAGCCAGGAAGTGTGCAGCACTGAGCGTAAAGCTGAGGAGCAACACTGGGGAGTGGCGTACAGCCCTTTCCTGGGCAAAGACCCATCCTAGGGTAGATTCTTTCTCTTGAGCAGACAGAGCATGGTGCCAAAGGCACTGCCCTTGCTCAGCCTCCATGGAGCTCACTTGGACTGAAGGCAACACAGCATCAGGTTCCCTGAGAGCTCCGCTCTGCATCTGCAACGTCCTCCACATGTGTGTGGGTGTTGCTTTATAGCTCAGACAAATGCTCCAAGATCCTGAAAATGGGAAGTCCATAAGCTTCCTGTGTACAAAAGCACCTGCATGTGTTTGCTCTGAGCCAGGAGCTTGCAAAAGCGTTCAAAGGGGAGCATGGGACAGCATCAAGGCAACGCCAGTGGCTTTTTGCAGTCAATGTGGTGTCAACAAGGTGGCTAGTGCAGGAGAGAGTGACACTGAACGGAAATTTGGCAGACCATAAGGGTTGTCACAACCTATGTCAAACAGTCATAAACCGCTGGGGTAATGAATAGTGCAGATAAATGGTTCAAAAGTTCAGGAGGTGTTTTCGCTGATAAGGGCCTTGCTGATGGAAATTCCTTGCTTCTTGCAGAAAGAACTTGATTGTTGTGAAAGTTGTCATCACACCAAAGCAATTAAAGAAGCCTGTCTTGTGCCGTTGACTAAGCTTGTCCTCACTGGTCACAGGTCGTTCTGGATTATTTCTCAGAAACACACCAACGCTGATAATGAAGTTCAGAACTGGGAAACACCTACTTGCTTAACGAGCACAGGATATCCCTCCTCTTCCAACTGAGGTATCCATCTGGAGGAAAACTGGAGACTGTCACGGCACTGAAGTGGAGACTGGACAGAGGAGGGGACCCCTGCATGGAGCATGAGGCAAAGCAGCCGTGCGGCCCTGCAATGGGGGCTTCCAGCCAGGATGCCAACCTGCAGCCCCTACCCAACAAAAACACCCTCAAAGTATAGAGAGAGGAGTTTCAAAGGCTGATTTGGAGCTTTGGGATGCAGCATAGTGGGCAGGCTGAGCTGGGCATGGAGACAGTGAGCTGTCCAGGTGTATCTCAGGGCATCTCCTGCAGCTGCAGCTCCAGTGCACATCCTGAAATCATTCTATTGCTCCCACTGGCAAGGACTTGCCTTATTTGAATAGTGTGAGGTACAATGTTGGGACAGGTCAGCCTCTTCATCTCTCCCAGCCATGCCCTATCAGTGCCACATGGTGACCCTGGAGCTCAGCAGGACCACTGGGAGCAGAGGCTGCCCCTTCCACAGCTGTGTTTTTAATTAAAGGCTGGACACAAATCTTTGCATCGCTTCCCAGACAACAAGCAGCTATGTCATCTCTGCAAGAGATTGCTGAGACATAGTCCAGCAAAATCCAAGCACACAGTGTCACTGAGACATGAGCAGAGCACACACATGCCCTCTGCAATGCCTGAATTCAATTATGGCCACATTCATTCCAGGCTTTCTTATGGCTTCTTCAATAAGCAGTAGCTGTGACAAACACAGAAGGGCAAGAGCAGGTCTCGGTGTCACTTCCAGAAAGGCAAAGCTCTTAACTACATGTGCAAATTCCAACCTGAGATCTCTGTGCCTGGGAAATTACCTGAAGTACTAAACAACCCATTAGCTCTGACCCTGGTATAATTGAATCTGGAAATTTAGTAGAGTCTGTCTCTTCTAACAGCGTTGAAGATAAAGCCTATCAGATCACAGATAAATTGCTGGCATTGAGGAAATCTTCTGCAGTAAACCTCTTTGCTGCACTTAGAACGTCAAAAGGCATATTCCCATGGTGTACAGTGCATCAGTCATACAACACTATTAGCTAGCACAGGTAGTATTTAAACAGATCACAGATAAGAGTTTAAAGAGACTGCTTGCTAAGTGCACAGATAATCCCGCTCTTCTGCTCAGGAAACTGCAGCTTCTTAAAAACAGGTTTAATTTTGTTTATAGTTTCCATGAGAAAATTAAAAGATTTTGCTGTTACATATGATACGTGCTGCACCAACAGCCTTCCTGCCACCTGGACTGCACACAGGGCAGGGGAAAACAACCCCGAGAGAGAGAGGGACAAGAAAACCTGTGGTGTCTGATGGCTGTTGATGCTGATGGTTTGCTCTCCTGAACATAGCCACCCCATCTCATCCCTCTGCTTGCCAGCAGAACTCCAAACCCTGGAATAAATCTGGCTGAACTCATAAACCAACAGCACATGAGGCTGATAGACAAGCTGGATACAACACTGCAGAGCAGATATCCTTCATCACCCTGCCTTGCAGATGCACTTCTTTGCATTTATGCATAGCAGTAGAGTGAGCTCCTTACCAGTGGCTGCGCACGCAGTTGAGCAGCAGGATAACAGTGCCCAGGCAGTAGCAGGCGGTGTGTGGAGAGCCGAAGCCTCGGCTGAGTGCCCGTGTTTTGTGCTCCCATCTTGCTACCTGGAGAGACAATAGAGAACAGAAGGAGTGGTTGGAGGTGCACAGCCCCACAGCTGCTCGGAGAGCACTGTCTCCATGGCTTTGTGTGAGAAGCAAGCAGGGATCACTGATTTGATGTGGCTTAAACGGAACCTGGGAGGAAAGCCCGGTTCTAACCATGCCAACATCTCCCTGTCCACCATACAAGCCAGCAGCACTGAGCACTGGCTCTCAGAAAGCCTCCTTCACATTAACCTTAGGGGTCCCCTGGCTTGTATTACAGGCACCCAGTGTAGCTGAGAGCACTGCTGAGGCTGTTCCAGAGCCACTGAAACCAACAGGTTCCTGGAAGGAAGAAGAAAAACAGGTCCCAGAGCAGGTGATGGACACCCTGGTTTGTTTTTCAGGCTCTGTGACCTACATCCAGCTGTGGGAACACACCTGACAGGGGTAATTCCTCCCAGCCTACTTCCAAAAGAGCTCCAGGTTTTACAGAGAAGCAGAAGCTGATGGCTCCCTGCCCAAAGTGCCCTTCACACCCCAAGACGCTGCTGCATGGAGGTGGCTGGAACTGCTCTCCAGAACTGGAGGTCTGCATCCACCCAAGTCACCACAATCAGGATCTTCACCCCAAAGCAGTCCAACATGACTAACTTTTCTGCCTTTTTGTATCCCTCAAAATGCTGTAGATATATATTTATTGCCTCTTCAAGGTTTCATTTTCAAATCCTGCACTGTGGCCCTCCTTCTCTCGGAGAAGCTGTAGGTGCCCCATTCCTGTAGGTGCCCCATCCCTGGATATGCTCAAGGCCTGGTTGGATGGGGGCCCTGAGCAGCCTGATCTAGTGGATGGTACCCTGTCCATGGCTGGGGATCTGGAACTAGGTGATCTTTAAGGTCTCTTCCAACCTCAGCCATTCTATAATTCTGTGATTCTATGATTTAGATCAGACCCTGAATTCAAACCAATCCAAGCACACCCAGGCAATGAAGTGAGAGACAGGAATCGGGGGAACGGCTGAACATTAATTTGCTTCTCAGACATGGTTGGCTCTTCATTAGCTTCAGACACACTTCAGCCCCTCGCATGGAGCCTGAGCAGCTCTGGGGGGCACCCATAATGCAGCTATTCTGAGTGCATTTGGTAATCTATTGGCTTCATTTAAGCAGCGAGCAGAGAAGGGCAGCTTTGCAGGTGCTGCTGTCTTCCCAGGCTGATGCAAAAGCACAAAGTAAAGGGGGACTGCTGGCTTCAGGAGGGGAGTGAGATGAAAACCTCCGATAAGCAGGGCACTGATTTCACATGCTGAGAGCTGATTCAATTAGTTATGCAATGATTGCTCCGAAATTACAAATCCACTCATGACAGAGAGAGCTGCTTCGCTGCCTTTTTCTGGCTGGTATAAATAGTTTGTATTCTAAATTGAATTTAAAACACCGTGCGTCATGCTGCTGCTAAAATGGGAGCTGCTGTTTGAACGCTGCGAGATGGGAAAAAGAAATATGGGGTGAGTTACTGGCTTCGGAAAGGAAAAGAAGTAACCATACAGGTGACTGAGTCACAGATGAGAAATGCAGCCACGTGCCCGTTATCTATGTGAGCTCCTTAATTCCCTGGAAATTATCCTAGCGGCGCTCGCATGGCTGAAGCTCCTGGCTGGTGCTGGGAGGGTTGCAGAGCATCTCAGCCAGTAGCAGGAGTGGAGCTGGCAGTGCTGTGGGGCTGAGCAGAGCTCTTCTGGTGGCCTTGTTAATTCCCCTTGCCATAGTGCTGGTTTAACAAAACAGGGTGGATGGAGAACGTTTCTGAGCCCTTCGAGAGCTGTCCCAGCTGTGTCAGCACTGCTCCTGGTGCACCAATGCATCACCTCCTCTTGGGTTGCCACAGCCTTTGGGCAGAGCTGGGACTCTCCCCCAAGCACCCCAGAAGCTCACACACGACTCACCACCGAGCAAGAGGCTGTGTGCTTCCTGAGGGGTCCCACACTGGTATTTCAGCTTCCTAACAATTAATTTGTTCCGGTTCTGGTTCTGTTCCTTGAGCAGCTAATTAGTTCTGGCTCAATTTCTGATTTTCTAATTTTAGTTGTTTGCTGGCTAATATTAGCTCTTGTTCAACCTGCGGTTACGCAGCTGGCGTTATGGTTTTACAGAATCATGAGCCAACGTGTTTTTATTTACTGCATGACGGATACGAGATGATTTTGGCATCCTCCATGGCTGCAGCTATTCCCGGTGCCGTGCCTGTTCCCTCGGCTGAGCCTGGCTGCCCACGCTCCCAGCGCTGTGCCTGGGCAACCTGAGTGATCTTGGCATCAGAATGGGAAGCCCCATGTGCCAACTGTCCGAATGTTTTCAGTTTTCCAGCCTCCTTGTTTGGATACAGAGTAATACCAACTTTCTTGCCTTACCCAAGAGTCAAAACAATAGAAAAATCCAAGACTTTCTCCAAAGGCCTGTGCTTTTACTTTAGGAATCTTGCTGATGGCTGTAAGAGACCGTTGAATGTTTCCCCAATGCTCATTATAGAAATAATTCAGTGAGCAGACACGGCTGCAAAGCTGGCTGTGCTGCTGGGTCCCATGCTCTGCTTTTGGCATTTTCCACCTCCCCGAGCATCACTCCCTGCCCACATAACGCCGTGCCGATTGCTGTGCACACCAACCCAGCCATCTCCCCAGCCACTTGGGCTAATATGAAAACAAAAATGAAAGCACAGGCACACATCCCCAGTGGCTGCCCTGATATGAAGAAGGAAATGTTCTGAGTTTCTTGTTCTTTTTTTGGGTGGGTAAACCTTCCTGAGCTGCCTTGAGACGGGCCACAAATATCTGTTCGAAAAACAATTTCATCTCATGAGCTTGCCTCTGCAGTTGATCAACGGGAAATGCTCTTTACAGCTTTCTGTGCATGGCAGACCATATCCTCTCATTAATATTTAGTATTTGTTTCAAGGAAATTGATTTTTTTTTGTCTGCCATCCAAGGAAGTGAGCTTTTGAACACGTTACATTTTAATTTGCTCAACCCCAGCTTTGAAATAGAGACTTTGTTCTGTTTTGCATGCCTCCCTTTCTATATCCGGCTTGCCCCAGAGGTAGGGAACGAAACCAGATACCCCAATGGCTCACTGCTGCATCTCAATGCTAATCAGCTGGTCTTGCCCTCACGTTGCCCCATTGCCATAGCACCAGAACACCGCACGGGCTCTGGTGAATTTAGGCATGTGGAGTGCCTGGGAAAGATTAGTTGCTCTTTCACAAAGGGAAACTGAGGCATCAGAGGGCTCTGCCTGCTGCTGGGGATGCTTCTGCCCTGACCAAGCTGTTGGCACAGAGTGAGTGAATTATTCTGGGCTAAAATATGACTAAGCTCTATGCTTCTATTATTCTGTGGTAGATGTAGCACTTAGGGACATGGTTTAGGGCATGATGATGATGGGTCAGTGGTTGATCTAGATGACTTTAGTGGTCTTTCTAGATGCTAGTCATGCTAGTCAAGGTCCCTTCCAACCTAAGGCATGCTATGATTCTATGACAATGAACAGGAGATGCCTCCCTTGTACCTTGTCTCACGTATTTTCCATCATGTAGGGCCCAGGAAACAAGCCACCAAGAAGTACAGGATTCAAACATTTCATGAAAAGCCAAGAGGAAGAATAATCAGTTCATCTGACTGGCATCTGTGCACCTCAGACCCAAGAGGATATGCATGCATAGACTGAGACCTGGATGCCTGGACAATTCAGCTCAAACTCAAAAACTTTCATAGAAGAGAGACCTGAGCAAATCTTTTAACATTCCCCTTCTGTCTGAACTCTCATGGGCAGCCCCAGGCACATCCTCCCTGGGCACTGTGCTCTGTGCTGCTGCTGGGACAGGGGAAATCCTGGCCCATTCGTTGGCCCCATGTGAGCATCTCCTACAGTGGTAGATGTGTCCTTGCCAGCTCACAGAGTGAGGAGAGGGCAGGAAATGTGATGGTACTCCTATTTCACCTTTAGAGACCATGGGAACAGAACTGTTCCGCTGCTATGAAAAATCCATTTTCCCTCATTAAACCAGCATGACGTTCTCTGCTCTCTGTCACAGCCTGGGTGCCAGAAAATGACCTTGCTTGCAGTTATTGCATTTCTCTAGAAAATGGGAGAAAATAGATACGCCCGAGCACCCAAACTCTGACTAAGGCTCTCACAGGCATTACATGGAACAGGGAGGGTGCAATGAGGCAGGGCAGGAATAACTGAGCAGGCTCAATGTAAATGCACACACTGCATGCCTGGCAGCACTGGGGCTGGCTGACCTTTGCCAAATGCCAGAGCAGGCAGCATCTATGGCTGTCCCAAGTGACCGCAGAGGAAATGAGTGTGGCCTGACCTTATCCTTCCTAACAAACCGCGCGCTTGGTGCAGATGGTTTATTGCTGAGTGCTGGAAAGGCAGTACTGATTGGTCAAGCTGTAAGCTCCGACGTGGGCTCCTTGAGGCGCACATCTGACTGGTCCTGCAGCTCCAAGGGGAGAAAACCTCAGATTAAAACCTCAGCAGAAGTAGGAGGGGGAAAGCAGGCAGGGCTGATGCTGGGGAGCACTATGCTGCCTTCCACATGTGGTATTTCCATCACCATACAGGGCTGCTGTATCCCTCCCCAAACTCCCTGTTATCCCAGCCCAGGAGCAGCACGGTAGGGATGCTGGATGCCCACGTGCAGCCCTGTCTGCCCACCCCAGTGCTGGGCACGGCACAGGCTTTCCAAAGGCACGCGCAGCAACGCCCCGGGGACCTGCGTGCCACTGGCAGCAAGAACATGATTAGCAGGAGCTCTGGGCAGCGAAGGCAGGAGAAAAAGAACAGAACAAACCATGGTTTAATTTGTACAAGCTGGTAATTATAGTTGCTATCTGTCTGAAATCTCTATTGAGTTTATTTAAATATGTTCTCTGTGAAGGCCATTCAAGACAGGAATTATCAAGGTGTTGCAGCAGAAGAGATAATGCCATGCAGTTTTCAACAGATCAAGGGCT